AAATCAAATGCAATCACATCTTTGTTACACTGATTTGTTGCTGCGTATCAAATTCGTGATTGTGCCCCAGCTTTTATTAACAACCATGGAAGATGTTATTCACAGCACATCAAGCTTTTCACTGCCAGTATAAACAGGGAATCCATTATCAACAGTCCTATTCTGTTTAGACAAATACATTAGTCTGACCGAAAGAGTACCATTCGGAGATGGCATGGTGGCAATATCGGAGTTGCCAACTTGTCTCAAGCTCTATTTAACTTTCTGAATAGAATCATCAGTAAAACCCACTTCCAATACGGTCAAAGTAAACCAAAATTTGAATGCTACAGAACGCACTTATTGATGTATGTAAATTTCAAGAAAAGCGCTTTCAAAATATGATGACTGATTTTTTAAGGCAACATCCAGAACTTTTTAAAAAATACAGCATGCAGTTTTCCGGTTACAATTCTCCTTGTGATCCTAATCAATCCGACTATTTATGACAGAGAAAACTAGAGCATTGATTCGAAACGTGACTTTTCGAAAGCAAGACTGACGCCATATCTTGGATCTAAATCTGCTTTCTGCTTGGAATCTGACATTCGTTGAGTATGAGTAATTATTAACATACTAGGATATAGCGTACATGAAAAAGTTTCGATGTTTAAGTGACATCATTTTAGGAATGTATCGCCCATGATGGGCAAGTGATTCATCCACAAAGCAAAACAATACGCGACAAATATAAGCATTGTAACTGCTCAAATATCGTTTGGTTTAAAATGTTTAAATGTTCCCTATCCATGTGCAACAAGGAATAAGGGGTGGCCAACACAGAAAATCTGCTAGAAGAGTTATGGACGAACTGCACTACCTCGATCGGCGCCGAAAGAGGGAATATTCAGGACGTGGATCACTAGTTTCTAGCTACATGGAGACAAATAAAGATATAGCTGCAAAGCTTTGTACAGATTATTGCAATGAATATTCAGCTATGACATGAGTCAAGGTAAATTGCAGCCACGAAGAAAGCTCGCATCTGACAGGACTACCGTACACTTCTTACATTAAAGCATGACCAGACCAGAATACCAAGTTGCCTTAATCACTCGCAAATCACCGGACGTACTGCCTAGCGATTTCTCGGCTGATTATACCGAAGCAACGTTTGATTAATCCCTTGTCCAAGGGGATCAGCGGATAAGACATACTGTCCCTTAAGCAGATTCGAATCCGGTACCTTCATGGTTCAAAGCCGACCTCTTTGCCACTGCTTCCATACCCAAAACAACCAGTCAATCCCAAGATAAAAACAAACTTCTTTCAAATTTATATTACCGCAGCATATACAGTTGTAAGATTATAAATGGCTTAAAAATGAAGCCATGCAAAAGTGTAACGATGAACCACACGATTTTCCTTTTCAAATTTTGGGCACTTACATGAGGTAAAGATTCGAATGAATTCATTCCTTCTCCATCGAAAGATATACCCGAGAGTTAGTTATTCCACTTAAGCATGCATACATACTGAGATGAAGAAGCTTAGTCGATAGCTTGTACGGAAACCGGAACCGTTATATCTTTAGCAAATAAGAAAACGTACACCATTTCTCAATGGAAAATGCCTACTAACCAATAGCATTTAAAGCCTACTTTTTAGCATAAATAAACTTCATAAGGTATAAGATGAGCTTGAAAACGTACGCCCGTTATCCAGACTGAAACATGAATCAGCTGAGTAAGAATCTATTCAAACTGAAAACGTTCAAAGCCTAAAATCAGCAAACAAATAAGGATTTCTATTGGTGTATATGACATGTAGCCGCCTCTTACATGAAGTTTAAATATATGTCAGAAACAATGAAGCAAAATGGCATTCCTAACGTTCTCAGGAAGAAACCACACTGAACTACCGAAGTTACACTAGAGTACAGCGATTTTCAGGAACAAATATTTTGCTAATTAACCTCACCAGTTGATTAATACTTAAATGAATTGTGCATAAATTAATCAACAGACTGATAAGTTTAACGATTTAAGGAACGCATATCTTACTTTAAGGTTAACTATAAAACTGATTTTACTTTTCTTATTTATCAACTCACCAAATCAAGAAAATAACAGAACGTTAGCAAATTTTATTAATGACAGATTCCTGACTTTAAGAACGACCGTTGCAATCGCATGTCTTGTGTCAGATATCGGAAGACATCTTGGGAAAGCTTGCAGTTTTGACAAAACGGTATTCATGAGCTTACACTTACCTTTATAACAGTCTTGCACGAGTGATTGTGCAGATAATTGACACCCCCATCGTTAGATGACTAGCGACGCATTTTTCCTTTTCATTCAATTTCTCTCAATCCACCATTAGAAATCAAATATCGCGGCTTATGAGCAAGCTTAAAGCTCCATTAACTCGCTCGTGCTCAACCTACAATTGCGCAATTTTTTTAAGGTATGAAGTCCTGCTTGTACCTCCTAATCACTGTAACTATGCCAACTGTGGAACAGCTTATCTGCATATCCGTCATATGCCACTATGTTTCATCTACTTAAAATATTTCAGAAACACAAAGAATGAAATGCCGGACTTACCCAAAGAGAATGGCTAAGAATTTGGTGCTAACTATAGATAATCAACTATTTTGTAATGGCTCACGCATTTCCAAGTAATGAATCTATAATGCAAACAATCATTCATGTCATCGGATTGATTGAGTCCATACATTAGCCTATACAATCGTTTTGCAATTATCGAACTACTACTGTTTTGGCGAATAAATTAAGCAACAAACTTGGCACTGCATGTTTCTGAATCAACAATTGCAAATTATGCTGACACTTGGACCAACGTACTCAGAAAATGAGGTGTCCTTAGCACAGCAGTATCTGCTGAAATAAAGTTGTCTAAACTCCCTCATTCAAATTTAAACGCGAGTTATCAGAGATTAAATCACGGCTGCGTGTCATTATTTGTAGATATTTTGTTTTTTCTATAGAGTATTTTGCTAGATTTTTGTGATAGATGTGCTGACAGTTTCGAGAATGTTTCACGTTTCTCCATGCAGGAAATTCCGCTTATGTGAGCGTCAATGTGTATTTTTTGACTGTTACTGAAACAAGATGACTTTCAGCTCTCCGCAGGCTAAATAGTGAGAGCTTTTAATTTTAGGTTTTACTTCTGTCGTCTTAGCCAGTCTGTTAAAGCCATTATTTCTATATAGCACAATTTCGACTGGGGTTTAATGATGATTAGCAATTTTATGAGCCTACATCACCTCGCATGATAGAACTGGATATAATGATTTTCCGCAAGACTTCTGCCCTACCTAAAATTCTCAATGTGGACTTCATTCCGTTGCTTTAATGGAGGCTGTGCAGCAAGTGATCTACTACAGCGCTTCATATACTGCTTTGCCACCTCAACCGCGATGCATTATCGAAGCATCTTCTTGAAATACCAGCACCGTCTCTCCTTCCGTTTCCCAGCTGAGGAACCACTAGTTGGCAAAGTAATGCATTCGTCAGCGTCCCAAACTCAATATAACTATCCTCACCCTTCTTCGTAGTTGCCGTAGCTAATTATATTTTACATGCATCATATACTCCATAAAAAATATGATCAAACTTTAAAATATTTTGTATCAATATAAATTAGTCCTATACCTTCTTGCGAAATCATTGCCCAGCCTTAACCTGCATTTGTGATATTTTGATGGCAAAGATACTTGTGCTGCTGTAATGAAAAAAATTATGAGAAATGAGAGGGTCTCCATTTTCACCTGACACCTGCAAAAAGTCAGCAAAAGCCATTACATGAATACTTTCCATTT